ATGAGGGTTTATATACGGGACGGGGGAGTTGAATTTCGGCCGTTGGATCATTGATGATCAACGACCTTGATCTTTTCACTTAAGGGGACGACATCGTTTGGTCTCGCGTGGAGACTGGGTCGGTCTTTGGGTGAAATAGGTCGGGTATCTGGGAAAGCCTGGAGCCGTTAGATGAAGTGAGATGAACGGCTCAGATCAAATACACCTAAACGACGTCGTTTGGAAGCCCAGGTCGTGGACTGGGTCAATGTAATGGATTGGGCCTGATTTTCAATTGAATTTTGGGCCCAAATCCGGTATTTTCTTCCCTTTTCATTCTTTTAATTTAAACAAAAATTCCTAATTAAATTAAAACCAAAATTAAACTACACAAATATTAATTAACATTCAACAATAATTAACACACAAATTAAAACGTTTAGTTAAAATAAAATCAACAATGACGACAGATAGAATAAAAATGCATATTTTTGTGATTTTTCCCTTGAAAACCAAATTATGGTTTAATTAATTCCTAAATGCACAATTAAATCCTAAATATGCATGCGGCCTGTATTTTTGTATTTTTTTAATTAACTACAACAAGGTAAACATTTACGGACAAAACAATTACCAAAATGTCATGTAAATTCTCAAAATTGTACCCAAAGGTAACTTGATTCTAGGGCTCCCACAGAGATGAGATTCTTCTTCAAATCCGGTACATATCGAACATCTGTTAATGTTCTGATCATTCCATCATGGTTCCTTAATCGTATTGAACCAATTCCATATGAGGTAAGAGGGTTGTTGTCCGCTGTGTGGATGACTCCATATTTTCCTTCTTGAAAATCCACGAACCAGTCCCTGTTGGGACACATATGATAGCTACAAGCCGAGTCCATTAGTCATATGTCTGCTGATGTTGATAGCTCTGTTGTAACTAATGAGAAATCTGAATCATCACAATCAACTATATTTAAATCCATAATGGCCTTTCCATTGTTATGTTTGGATTTATTCTTCAACTTCGGACAGTCTTTCTTCCAGTGTCCCTTTTCTCGACAAAAGGCACATTCATCTTTGCTGGGTCTGGATCTTGACTTGGATCTTCCCTTCTTTGTCCTCATTTGATTTTGAGGACGACCCCTCACAACTAGTGTTTCTGTTTCTCCGCCCTTTTGTTTTTCTCCCTTTCTTTGTTCATAGCTGTACAAAGCCGAACAAACTTTTCTGAGAGAAATTTTGTCATTCTCATGGAGTAGAGTAGTTTCAAGGTACTCGTACTCATTAGGAAGTGATCCCAATAACATCAAGTCCAAGTCACCATTATCAAAAGTTGCATCCATATTTTGCAAATCTGTGACCAACTTATTAAAACTGGTGATATATTCGTTCATTGTGGTACCAGGAACATATGTGAAGCAAAACAGTCTCTTCTTCATGTACAATTTATTTTGACTGTTTTTCTTCAAAAATTTATCCTCCAGTGCTTTCCATAATTTACTTGCAGAAGTTTCCTTTGTGTATGGATATTTCTGCTCTCTAGCAAGGTAGGATCGAATGGTACCGCAAGCAACACGGTTGATAATTTTCCAATCTTCTTCTCCAATAACATCTGATCTTTTTTCTTCAATGGTAAGATCTAGCCCTTGTTGAAAAAGGACATCTAGAACCTCGCCTTGTCACATCCCAAAATGTCCTGATCCGTCAAAAATTTCTACTGCAAATTTCGCATTTGACACAATTCTTGCCATAAGCGAAGATGCCAACGATGACGTATTATTGACACTTGATGTAGATTCTTCTTGTTTATTGTCTCCCATTTTGACACGAATATTATTTAGTAGCTGACGAAACAAATCAAGATTATTTTTTTCTGGTGTGGAAGATCAGACTAAGCTGCAACCACAGAGCATACTAAGACAAAACCTTGACACAGTTACCAAGATAAATCTTTTCTGATGTGGAAGATCAGACTATGCTGCAACCACAGAGCATACTTAGACATATAGTGTGAATAAGTCACAACTACTATACCAAAAATTATGATAGCCACCAAAATAATAAATAAGACAATAAAGCAACAATAAAAGGAACACCAGAATTTACGAGGTTCGGCTAATTTTGCCTACTCCTCGGACACAACCAATATTTTATTCCACTCCAAAAATACAAGTGAAATAATACTAAAGAGAGAAGATACAAATGCCTTAAGAAGATAAGAAGGCAAATGAGAGGTGTGTTTAAATCCTAAACATTAGACCTCCTTTTATAGGGAAAAATTCTCAATCCCAAAGTGTCACCCACCGATGTGGGACTTTTGACAATCAACAACTGTGACATGGCAAAACAAGCAAATAACTATGCCACACGCGTGGAAAATTAACTATACCGATGCCCTCAAAATACAAACTTTAACCTGGAGATCATCCTGCAAGGAAGTCGATATAATGTCAGATCAAGCAAACTTGCAGCAGTAAATAGGCATATATAATCACTTAAACATGGCCGGGCCCGAGTTCATTTTTTGTGTTTTGCACTTTCGCGACATTCACCTAGAGCACAACAATATTCAAAGTAAACTCCTAAAAACAATGTCAAGGTTGCTTAATAAAGTCTTTCATCCTTTTAATGAATTCAGTACTGTTAATACAAAAACACACTACATGACTGAAGCGTCCAATTCTAAAGGAATACAATCCTTATTAGCTGATTCACCAGACTTCATAGTAGGAACTTGCTACCTAAAATGTTGTGTGTGCTACCCCTTTATGGTCTGCCTCTGGGAATGGTGAACAAAAGCCTTATATACATGCTTTCAACCTTGTAATCACCTATAGAAAATTGAACAATTTGCTTAATCTTTGACGTCTTCCTAATTTATTGCTTGCACCATCAGAGTTCAGACGTAAAACTACAGCATATCCCCTTTGTCTAAGAGTAGGTAATTACGGAGTAGACCAATCAACTCTCAAAATATAACAGAACATCTGTAGCTTCAAGTAGCAACAATAAGACCCTTTATTAGAATACTGTTTCCGTGCTAACAAAGAATATTAGAAAAACTGTTAGCTTAATAAAAAAGGTATCCTACAGGTTGCCACGCAGGTGGACACCGGTTTCGCATAATAACCATCAAAGCTTCGAGATTTAACATATCCGTGTATAATGTATTCCAGTCACCCCTTTGTCCCACGATACATGTTTGTATTTGCTAAAGAACCAGCTCATTTTAAAGTAAATCAGAGAATTAGTTTAACCAGATGATGGTGTTAGATAACTTGGACAGTGATTTATTCTTGGAAGCTTTTGACAAATCTTGAATGCTTCGCAGAAATTGCCCTGAACCAAGAATCTTTAACTGAAGTTCATTGGAAATATTACTCAAGCTCTACTGGTTTGCTAGTAATTGTAAAGCCAGCATCTTTAACATGGTGGTAACATAGCAAAGAGCATGAATTACTCTACTACTACCATGAGAGACTTCAAGTATCCAACTAAAACCTTAAAAGTAATGAGCAAAGTAGTTCATGAGTACATTAAACTATATGGAATTTGAAATCCTTAAGTAACTAATTTGGGGCACATATTTTAACATTTTCTTGCACATGTGACAATGTTTCAAGAAAGAAACGGGTCCAAATACATTACCTTACTGTTTAAGACACACTTGACAAATAAAAAAGCTCAGCCTTTGGAGATGCTCTAGGGAAACGCATCAATTCTGTGGTGATATTTCTTTCTTCGTCGGAACCAAAGGCTCTATAACGCTTAATGCTCATCCTTATCAAAGATGGACTATGAGCTAACAATAGCTTTACGAAAAGCAGTTCAGTTTTTGAACCGTTAAACCAATGTATCACTACATCTTTCAGCTGGTTGAGTGGCCGTTCCAAGCAGGTTGGTGTGCCTAGATATTTCTAAACTGCTTCAGCATTGTCGCTGGTATCATAGGCCTAATGGTGTCAAATTACACAAAGTAAGTTTACCTTCTCATGTTTAAATATACACATAACCACATTTACCTTTCTTACCCAAATCTCAAGTTTACTCAAATTGGGGGTACTCTTAATTAACTCTAGAGAGCAAGAAGTCTGACCCATTTTGCCGAAGCATACACCCAACCTTACATACCACAAGCAGTCGAGCGTACAAGGAAGCCGCTTCGAAACTGTGTCTGCACTCAAAAGCTTTAATTGGAGCAAATATTAAAATAAGAATCGCATGAACACAATCCTTATAAGATGTTCAAGTAAAACAACATGAATGATTCATACCTCAAGGTCAATTGAGCCCAAAGCAAGATCCTCAAGCGTAGGCAAGTTAAAAAGAAGCTTTCCCAAAGTTGATCTTTCATCATGTTTTGGATTATTAACCACAAGGTCCAATACTCTTAAATCATGTTGTAAAGCAATTTAGTTCAAGATCATAGTGACTCTGACGAACAGTCAAGAACTCCAGCAACGGTGAGGCCAGGGGTGGATTTAGGGGGGCGGAAGGGGTTCACCCGAACCCCCTCGCCGAAAAAATACACTGTATATATAAAGCAAAATCTGTTTTTTACCTCTATATATTAAGTTTTGAACCCCCTTAACACAACCCAAAAGTATAGTTCAGTCAAGAGGGTTCAAAACCTCAACGCAAATTTTTTTTTTTGAACCCCTTCGTGAATATCCTGCCTCCGGCAGTGGGTGAGGCCATGTTTAGGTATTGCGTGCCGTTACAGTATATCAAGTACAAATTGGCAAGAAGGGGGGCATTGATAACACAAAACTCTGGGGTTTATTCAGATGGAGGTCTGCAAGATTCTGAAAGCCTAGAAAAGTATTTGGTGGTTTGAATACACAGTTGTGGAGATCCAAATATGTCAGGGTTGGACAATTAAATATATGCGAAGGGAGTCTATAAGTAGTAATATCTGGCATGTTTAGGGTTAGCTCCTTGACACCATTTTTGGTGACATACTACATCCATCTATCAATATTTGCATATGAAGACAAATTTACTCCTGAAACATCAAGAACAAAAATCACGATGTCTCCAATATGCTGTAAGAGAATCCAACCTACTGTTTAGTTGAAAAAAGAATGAGATCTTTTTGCTAATTTATTGCCAGGGGCGGATGTATAGGTAAGATTACGGGGCATGTGAACCCATGGTCTCTCGGCAAAATTAATATTTTATGTATATATATATTTTTTTTTAAATTGGTATAATATTAACTGTTGGCACACATACTCCAAGAAGGTTGATTAGGGTACTTGGTTGAAGGTTGTGTTATTTATCTAGAGTAATAGGGATCATTTCCACTTAATATATTTTTTTTCTTTTTTTGATTGTGCACTCATATACTAAAAATCCTAGATCCGCCTCTGTTTATTGCAAAGGAGCTTATCCAACACAATATTAGGAAGCATGGTCCAAATATATCTCCAGTTTGTGGATAAAACACTAGTTCTTGCTGCATCTTGAACCGATAAGACCTCAAAGATATAATATATAATGCTTCTTGGTAAAGCACTGATTCTATCTTCTCTATTCCCTTCAACAACAGCTTCTTTTACTATCTGTTAGAAGAAGTTGAATATAAGTCTTAAGCTTAATATTTAGAACCCAAAACGCAAAAAAGAAGGGGGAAAAAGAGGGAATTGTATACCTTGAATCATGCTGGCTGATTCTTAAGATAAAATTTGTGATGTTAATCAGAGTCCTCAAATTACATAGCAGAACAGAACAGGACCAAATGCAAAAGATGTTGCAACATTACACTCTGTTCCTTAGAATTTTATCACCGTCAGCATACCCCGCTGAAAAATATCAAAATTTTAAGCAAAGTCAACAAGCTGTTAATTAGATTACTGCAGAGAGAAAGGGAGGGAGTGAAAAGGCACCCAGCAGCTCAAGAAGGAACTGAAAGTCAAGTCTAAGACCTATCTCCAACCCTAATATCAAATTTCGAGAAGTTTTATTTTGTGTCTCATACAACTTATCCTAATTGTATGAGGCTTTTTTTTTGTCACATAAATTTGTGGACCCCCAATTTTACACTTCTGGGTCCATAAAACTGTGAGACAAAAAAATTGCTTCATACAACTAGTGTCAGTTGTATGAGATACAAAATAAAATTTTCCCCAAATTTCTCACCAAAATGGTGTAACACCAAATTTACTTCAACCATTACACTATTTTTTACACCAAAAAAATATTTCTTCTCTCTCTTCTATATTATATTACTAGTATTAGTAATCGCACGATGTGCGGATAATATTATGATCCTTCTAAATTATATAAATTAAAAAGAATAAATTATATGAATAACTATTGACATAAACTTAAATATTATAACCCCATATATAGTCGATGATACAAACAAATAAAAATACAATATGATTCAAAAATAAAACTCATTCCCTTTCAATTTACATAAAATATTTTTCTTGTTAGTCTGTTCCAAAAGAATGACACATTTTTATATTTGAAAATAATTTAACTTTAAATTTTTTATTTTACTCTTTTACATATAATGAGAAGTTCTTACACTCATGCAAATATCATGGCTCCGCAAAACTATTAGGATCATAAGTTTCAAAAGTTTCCTTTTTCGTTCTTAAATTTCGTGTTAAGTCAAACTATCTCATCTATATTGAAACTGAGTGAAGTCGTATTATATAGAGTAATAACAAATAAAAATACATTTAGTAATATCTTAATTTAAATTATAAAGATATATTATATTATTATCTAAGCATAATATATTCTCACATTAACATCAACTTCTACCAATCTAAAATTACACAGTGATAAATTAATATATACATACATGATAATTTATTAACAACCAATATATTCCAACTTTTGGGAGTTACCAACTTATAAAACAGCTGGATCGTAATTTGCTTAATAATTTTGCTAGTTACCTCAATTTTAACCACACAGCTAAAGTCATATTGTTTTTAACAATTTAAGTGATACATTTGGGATATAGTTAAGATTAATATATTATAATTAAATAAATGTTAACCTACTTTAAATATTATTCTTCTATGATGCACATGTACTAAAAGAAGATGAGTTCTTACATGTAATTATAAATTAAATGAATCTTACCTTGTGATTTTGTGATTTGCTTTATTTTGTGTAAATAGCAATCCCAAATAGTGCAATTATATTGTGATGACCCAAAAAGTCATCACTTATTTTAGAAATGAATTCTGCATTTCGAGGTCTTAAAAAACCTCTTTCAGCATCACCTCGATTTGCATGCGCAGTCCAGGCGTATAGTCGGAAAGCCATTATGTAAAAATCTGTGAAAATGATGAATTTTAACTTTAAAATAAATTAAGTTGACTTCGGTCAATATTTTAGGTAAATGGACCCGTGATTTGACGGTCCCGGAGGGCCGTAGGAAACTATGGAACTTGGGTGTATCCCCGGAATCGAATTCCGAGGTCCCAAGCCCGAGAAATGAATTTTTGAAAGAAATTATTTTGCTGAATTAATTATGAGTTTTTGAAGGTGAAATGTGTTTGAAACCATTGGTATCTGGCCCGTATTCTAGCTCCGGAGCCCGGTACATGTCTTATATATGATTTGGGTCGAGCCTATGAAAATTGGTAAGAAACGGATTTGAAACAACGTGAATCGGACCTTATTTGAGAAATTTGGCAAATTTGAAGTTCTTAAGAAATTCCATGATTTTGATGCTAAATTCATAGTTGTTGATGTTATTTTAGTGGTTGAATGCACGAGCGAGTCTGTATGATGTTTTTAGGTTGGTGTGCATGTTTGGTTTGGAATCCCGAGGGCTCGGGTGAGTTTTGGATAGGCCACAGGGTAGATTTCAGACTTGAGAAATTGCAAACTTCAGCTGTTGCATTGCAGGCCTGCAGGCTTTGTCGCAAATGCGAACAATAGCCCATGCCAGCTTACCTCGCAAATGCGAGGGATTGATCGCAAATGTGATCTCCCAGTTTTAGCCAGACGTCGCAAATGCGACACATTGTTCGCAATTCCCACTTCGCAAATGCGAAAACTGCTTCGCAAATGCGAACTTAGCAGAAGTCTGGGTTCGCAATTGCGAACCCATGTCGCAAACGACATCTGCAACCTGCAATTTTATAATTTAGCCGATAATATTTTATTTTTCACTCTTTCAAAACCAAAACACTCTTGGGCAATTTTTCAAAGACAACTCTTCTTCCAAATCGATTGTAAGTTAATTTTAACTCGTTTTCTTCAATCATTAACATCTTTTCATATGATTTCAACTCAAAATCAATGATTTTCATGGGGGAAATTGGGTGTTTTAGGTAGAACCTATGGTTTTCAAAAATTGGGGATTTGGACCTCGATTTGAGGTCCGATTTCAAAACAAATTATATATTTGAGTTCGTGCACGAATGGATAATCGGGTTTTGGTTCGAACCTCGAGTTTTGACCATGTGGGCCCGGGGGCGATTTTTGACCTTTTGGGTAAAACTTTGGAAAACCTATTTTTATGTATTGACATCGATTCATTTAGCGTTTATTGATATAATTAAGTAACTTGTGGCTAGATACGAGCGAGTTGGTGGTGCGATCAAGAGGTAAAGCGATAATTGAGGCTTGAATTGTGCTCGTGGCATCGAGGTAAGTATTTGGTCTAACCTTAGCTTGAGGAATTGGGAGTCGTGTCTTATTTGCTACGTGTTAATTGTGGAGTACGACATATAAGCATGGTGACGAGTATCTATACGTCGGTGTCAAGCATGCCCGTGAGTCTTGTATTGTA